CTGTATGTATGTATACACACACACACACACACACACACACACACACACACACACACACACACACACACACACACACACACACACCCACACACACACACACCCCCACCCCACACACACACACCCACACACACACACACCCCCACCCCACACACACACACAAGAATGTTGATTGTAGGTCACTCTCTGATGTCTGTGATGCTGGAAGACGTTTACATTCATCATTCTAATCTTCTGCATTTATTTGTCTTTACAGAAATACTGCGTGGTAACCTCCAGGTAAGATAGAGATCTAATTCTTCTATGTGGCTCTGGAAGCCTCTGCGGCTGTTGTAGAACTATAAGTCCCAGCATAGCAGTAGCAGATCTGGACTCTACAATTCCCCCTCAACCGCTCTTACTGTAAAGAACACATCCCACAACGAAGGTCAAACATCCTTCTCACCTCATCAGTGATGTTCCCTTGTCTCTGTACAGACGTTGGCTTCAATTGTTACATTGTTGCATTGACTTCATACCTATGAATATCGTGAAGGGTTGTGCTGAGACTTGTAGTTCCACCGCTATTGGAGAGCGACCTTCAGTTGTAATCTCTCTGTCTCCAGGTTGGGTAAGATTCTCTCCGAGTCTCCTCTTCCCGGCCGCCTGGACATCCAGCTTCCCATCATCTCGGACGAGTTCAAGTTCCAGGTGTGGCGGAAGATGTTCCGAGCGCTGATGCCAGGTGAGATTCTGGGCGGGGCTTCAGGGGAGGAAACGCCTGATTGGTTCGCACTGCACAGGGAGGTTCTCGAGCTAATAAAAAGGATCCGGTACTGACTCAGGATCTCCATGATTATTGGCTCGTGGGTGTGTCCAATGGCAGGACAGACCCAGTGACACATGATCAGTGGGGTGTACTTTATTTCACCCACTGTAGTCATTACAGTGAATCTCCAAATGCTTCACCCCACGGCCATTGTTACACCCCAGATCCTTTCTCCTCGGTGCCCCGGGGAGCACCCCGGTCCTGGTGCACAAAGCTGTAGCATTGACTTCTCGGACTTGAGTCAGGCCCCGCCCCCAGTATTTTGTCTTATTTATCGATTGCTGACTCATTTTCAGCCATTTACATCAATGCTGCAAAGGAGCTTACACTCCAATGTCCGTAGGGTGCTTGTGAGAAAGCCAGTTAATGCACTGGTCTGATTTTGGGGCATATAGAGGAACCCGTACAAGCACAAGGTAAACATACAAACTCCATGCGGATAATGTCCCTGGCGGTAATGGGATCCAGGGCCCAAGGCACGGCACTTAGCTCTTGTCCTGCAATACCACTTATGTCCAGCAGATGGCAGCAGCAGCAAAGCATTCACTTTACAGGGTTACATGAGCATGTGTCTGCTGCAGCTAACGAGTTCTTATATGTGACGGAAGCATTCGTTTTACTTTTTCAGGGTTTTCCCCCCAGTGATCCTGCTAATAACACACTTCCTGTTCCAGGGTAACAACACTCACTAACTGCGCTGTATCTATGGAGGAGCAGGGTTTGCTCCCTAACACAGAGAATGTGTTAGTATTACAGATCATCTCCCCCTCTGCTCATCTCCATTACATGGGGGGGGGGGGGGAGAGATAGCTAAGAACAATGGCTCCATCTAGTGGGAGGAACATTGGAAGTTCCTATGCTCCTCAGCTCCACCTAATGACAGGACCATTGGAAGTCCCTATGCTCCTCTGCTCCATCTAGTGGCAGGAACATTAGAAGTTCCTATGCTCCTCAGCTCCATCTAGTGACATTATCATTGGAAATTCATATGCTCCTCGGCTCCATCTAGTGGCAGGAACATTGGAAGTCCCTATGCTCCTCGGCTCCACCTAGTGTCAGGACCATTGGAAGTTCCTATGCTCCTCGGCTCCATCTAATGGCAGGAACATTGGAAGTACCTATGCTCCTCGGCTCCATCTAGTGGCAGGAACATTGGAAGTTTCTATGCTCCTCAGCTCCATCTAGTGGTAGAAACGTTGGAAGTTCCTAGACTCCTCGGCTCCATCTAGTGGCAGGAACATAATTGGGAGTAGGTGGGAGGTAAGCTGTGTCTATCCCCGCCCACCCAACGACCGCAACAGCATGAGGAGGTGTGGCCACTTCTGATTTGAATGTTTCCACATGTCATGTGACTGCTATCATTTTCTTTCCCGTTCCTTCATAGCTCTAGAAAACCTAAACTTCGACCCCAACTCGGCCCAACAGAACCTGGTCATCTCCTCCGACGGCAAGTCAGTCGAATGTTCCGATCACAAGCAGCCCGTGTCCGATGACCCGGCGCGCTTCGACAAGAGCAACTGCCTGGTCACCAAAGAGAGCTTCACGGAGGGCGAGCATTACTGGGAGGTCATCGTGGAGGACAAGCCGAGATGGGCCCTGGGTGTCATCTCCGAAACTGCCAACCGCAAGGGCAAGCTCCACGCCACCCCCGCCAACGGCTTCTGGCTGGTGGGATGTAAGGAAGGGAAGGTCTATGAGGCCCACCTAGAGCAGAAGGAGCCTCGGGTCCTACGCGTGGACGGGCGCCCGGAAAAGATCGGCATCTACGTCAGCTTCTCCGACGGGGTCCTCTCCTTCTTCGACTCGGACGACGAGGACAACGTCAAGCTCCTGTACACGTTCCACGAGCGGTTCTCGGGCCGACTCCACCCGTTCTTCGATGTCTGCTGGCACGACAAGGGAAAGAATGCCCAACCCATGAAGATCTACGCGCCCCCCGGCACACCGCTATAAGAAAGAAGTCTTCACGGTGGCCACCAACACCACTGCGCACGTCAACATTGGACACAGTCAACTAGGGATGCACCGATACTAGTATTGGTGCCGATACCGAGTATTCACCCAAATGCTCCGATACCTTCCCCGATACCGGAACTTCCGGCCAGAGGGAGATTTCCTCTGACCGGCAGTGCCGTAGGGAAACATCGATCAGGAAGCCGGGAGGCGAGTAATGACCCAACTCCCAGCTTCCTGATTGGCCCAACAGCCGGCTCGATGCTGTTTGACCAGGAAGCCAGCTTTCCAGCCAATTATCATGGAGCCGGTTTCCAATAAGGAATCCGGGAGGCGGGTCATTACTCGCCGCCCCGGCTTCCTGACTGGCCGGCATGCCCACTTGATGCTGATTGAAAGGGAAGGCCAATCACAATCAAGCCGGCCAAACAACTTTCTGCCGGCTTCCCGGGCAATCAGGAAGCCGGGCGGTATGTCATAACCCACCACCCAGATTGCCCGGTAAACCAGCCCCATGCCAGCGGAAGCACCGATATCGGTACTCGGTATCGGTACTCGGTATCGGTACTCGGTATCGGTACTCGGTATCGGCGAGTACCGAAGGCAAAGTATTCGTACTCGTAGAATTCAGTCTAATTCCAAATTCAGCCCAACGCCAGCAAAAACTAGAGGCCCAACTGTCACGTTTTTTGTTTTTTTGGCACGTTGTTTGACTGGTTCCAGAGATTCTTCCAAACCCGGAACCAGAGACAGGAACATGTCCTCATACCTCACAATGTGTTCAGTATCGATGAACCCCCAAAATTTGGGTGGACTGTTTAAACACCCGACAAAGAAAAGTTGGAGCGTTGCCGGCACATCGTGTACAGGCGTCATCTCCATCCTCAGGCGGCTTCTAAATAAACCGGATCATGTAAATGATCTTCTCATCAGAAATAAAGAGATCCGAGATGTCCCGAGGAGGGAAATCATCCCACAAAGCTGACTTCCTGTCTCATCTCTCAGATCCAACTGTCAATTCTCAGAACCCTCAAAGAGAACCAGTCATCCTTGCTCCAGAACTCGCTCGTCCTTCACTATTATTCTGCAACATGCTTACTCATGCATTCATATCTTGTCTTCCCCTCGCCCCCACCCTCCCCTCCCCCATCAACATGCCAATGGCATTATTAAATAAAACCTTTTCATTACAGAACAGATTTCAGACCCGACAATGTCATCACTTT